GAGTTACTATCTCAAATATTAATGGGCAAAGACAAGTCAACAGTGTGGTTTAAGACAGTGATCTAATTTAAAATTTTATAGGACATCGAGCTACAATGACATTTTGAGGAGTTTATGTCAAAATAATTTTGTGTATAAAGAAACGGCTGCACAAACATCCTTAACAACTCCACTCAATGTAGCAAAATTAGCTCCGGCACCATGCATAATCCATGACTTTACTAATTTTAAAAATATCAATGTATGTAGGGCATCACCTTATATTATTAAAAGTTGAGAAAAGGTCTATCATGTTAAATTTTTTATTGAAATAAGCTATCAGCTGTTGAGCTGATTTATTTATGGCTGTCTGTCTAGTATTTTAGGGATAACTATTTTTGGAGTCATTTTTCTCAGTGACAAGGGTTCAAAGTAAGACCCTGTGTTAATGTTTAGAGGCTTTCAAAACCTGATGATAATTTAGAAAAGGAGTAAACTTGTTAATGAGGAAGTTTATTTTTCTTGGGGTGAGATTAGCATTTCAATCTCTTTCTGTCTGTCTGTCTGTCTTTCCTTCCTTTGGTCTCCACTCAACTGTGGTGTGACATTTAAACTTGCCTAGGACTGTGTTGACCTTTGCCAGTCCCAGGGAATGTCTAGGGCTAACTGGATGATAAACCCAACTTTGAAAATGGGTGGCCCCCTAGAAGCTTAAGGTGATTGATGTACTGTCTTTTTGAGTCTCTCTATGAAAATAGGATTTTTTAAAGGCTTACTAAAATTCCTTTTTAGGCATTTTGTTTATGTGTTGGATATCTGTTTGGGGAAGTTGTCTGTGCTCCAGACAGAAAGTCAGGACACGGTTAAGATAAATCTCCTCTAAAACTGTTTTTAAGATGGCCTTCTATTTTAAGGTTTAGCTAAGTAACAGCATATGTCTCTAGATAAGGTTAGACATCTGGCATAAATTTTGAAATATTACAATATATGAATTTGGATCTCTCAAAAACCTCCCTGAGTTTGTTCTGATCTGTATTAAGTTTGAGAGGTCCCCTTTGAACTCTGTTTCCAGTAGGTAATTTTTAAGGCCTTCTCTGTTAATAGTAAATGAGGCTAGATATAAAATTGAGATTTTTTTATTAATCGTTGTGATTTTCTGGTACATAGACTAGCCGATCCATTTTGATGTTACCTGCAAATTGTCAATTTAATCCCTTCCTGAGAGAAGTTCTCAAAATATCTCTATACCTCAGAATATTATCCTTTAAATAGGTATCTCTTGTCTTTTTAAAAAATATGATTAAGGCCACTTCCCAGTGTAGGGAGTGGTATATAAACCTTATCATATTTTTTAAAGGATAATATGTCCAGTCAGAGAACTTAGATAATACAAAGAATTTCCAAAAACGTTTGCAGCTTTTATTGTTCAAAACTAATGTATGATTTTAATTTGGAGAGCTCAAGTTCTAATAAAATGCTCTCCCAAATCCTACAAATATCCAACAACAGAAGTAATATGTAAGAATTAAAAGGAATCACTACTGGCATCTTTGAATCAATCAAATTTAGTTCCAAGAAGAAGTGTCAAATTGAAATTTAAGTCAGCATTTCAAAATATTTATTATTTAATCAAAAAAGTAAATTAATTCACTAAAATTAATACTTTTCTTAAACATTAAGAATCACTAGGTAAATAAAGACCTTACTTGATGGAAATAAACTTAACATTTTAATAGGTCTTTATCATGTTGAAATATGGACACAATCTTGGTCTATATTAGTATGATAAAATTGGGGGGGGGGTCTGAAATATCCTAGGATTAACCAGTTCAGATTGTTATAGTCAGTCCAGTTATACATACATTTGTTTTTCAATTATTTTAACTTTCTATATCATCAGTCTAGATAATGATATAAGGATTTCTTTATTTAGGAAAATTTTTTTATCATTAAAATCCAGACAATAAAGACCTTGTTTTACCCAAAGATGATTTCTTTGATCTTCTTAGACCTCCAATGTGTGCTTGCTCTCTGTGGAAGTATTTTCCTCTCCTTTTAGAATTTCTTTTGGTTATACTTTGGAACAATTTCTGTAAATATTAGAATCTAAACAAATTATTGTACCTTAATAAGAAGAAATATCTCAATGAAAATATCATTAAAGCCCTCGGACATTTCTGTAGACAGAATCTTATCTGTTTATCATCTAGTAAAGTTTATACAATAATTTGAGAATTAGAGATTACTTGATGGTTGTATTTTCTTGAAAGCAAAATTCTTATAGTAAAATACATTTATCTTAATTTTTTTAATATTTGTATTTTAGTTGTAGATGGACACAATACCTTTATTTTATTTATTTTTATGAGGTGCTTGGCAAGTGCTCTACTGCTGAGCCCCAGCCCCAGCCCTATCTTAAATGTTTTAAACTATAAAAGGCAGAGCATCAGATAAATGCATGTATAAGAAATATAAATCTTGTGTTTTCTGTTGAAGGAAAACAATTAGAAGCAAATAGACATATATTAATTAAACAAATAGACATATGTGTTAATTATTTTATGAATTACTGATTATAGATTATTTAAGTAACTGGAAAAATATGTATTAAGAATAAAGGTATAGCTATAATTATGTCAACCTTATGAAACTACATGGTTCTTAAACTATTTGGATCCATTTCAACTTATTTTAACTATGGGTGTACCCTTAATTTAGATAAAATAAGAACACAGCGTATACATTTATTTATTTATTTATTTATTGTATTTGTATAGTTACAAATGAAAACAAGGATTTTTTCGGTCATCACGGGAACATTGTGAGAAAATTGTCTCAGGCTTTTGTTCCTGTGAGGAGCAAAATGCATCCTCATAAGCTCCAAAAGGAAGACAGGAGGAGCCTGTCCCCCTGGCGGTTGTGACACTGCAGCTGTGGAGACAAGATCAGGCTGCCCAGCTTGACAAGAGTGGGCTCAGGCTGCCCGCAGGCGCCTGCCGAAGGGATCTTGGGCTAGTACTGGCAGTGGGCATCTCGGGCCAGACGCGGGCCGCAGCCCAGGGGCCAGCCACGCGGGGGCGGGGCCAAAAGCCCCGTTTGAGTGACAGGGAAAGGGAAAACGCGGGAGGCGGGACTTTTCTGCCATTTCGTCCCCGCCGCGTGCCTGGAGAACTCCGAGGTGTAGCTGGAGAGCCTCGGGGAGAACCCCGATGTTGGCCGTCCCTCTGCATGTCCACTCCACTCTCCGTGCGACCACGTGGCCGGGCACCTCGCTGGTGCCCCGGGTCGCAGAGGTGGAGGTTCACAGAGGGAACCTGAAGCCAGGCTTGGCGGTTACGACGGAGAGCAAACAAGAGTGGCGCTGGTGGCCCCGCAGCTCGGGCTCCCCCGGGGGCATAGGACACCGAGCAGCTGCACTGGGTGGGTGTCCCGCCAGTTTTTCGGGGCCGGGCGTTGCCCGCTGGGCTGTCCAGGTGGGGTCGCAAACCAGCAATTTGTCCTTTCCCTGTCAGCATCTCCACGGGAGCCGCGGTGGGGCTGAGCGGATGGCCAGGCCAGCGGTCCGCCGTCCTCCGCGCTAGCGTGGGCACTCCGCCGTGGTCCCGGGGTGACAGCAGCGCCCCTGCCTCTGTAAATGGCCGTTCTCGCAGGTGCCCTTATTGCTTGGGATTGCGGGGGATGTAATGGCCAGGCTCGTGACCCTGCGAGTCCCCGTCAGCCGCTGGCACCTCTGAACGGTGGCGGCTTGGAAGTTTCTGGGGCAGATGCTCGCTCCCAGAACGTCCCCAGGTGCGGGATTCTGCGCCATCTGGTTGTTGTTCTCACTTGGAAACCCTCAGGGGCAGCGTCATGCAGGTGCTCCCGGGGTGCCCTGCTGGAGCCCGGCGCGTCCAGGGCGGTGGCCCTGCCTGTGCTGCTGCAAGCTGCTGCTACCCGTGTTTCCACCTCCTGCTCCGTGAGCTCCGGAGCCAGGGTCAGTGGGCAGCACTCTGTCAGGGAAAGGACTGGCTCCCTGCACCCTCCTCCCGCAGTGCGCGCCCTCCTGCAGCATCTCGAATATGAAAAATGGGCCCCTCAGCAGACGCTGGCTCCAGGGTATGGTTACCAAGGTTTCCAAGGGGCAGAATTAGCTGGCGGTTCCACAAGGGACAGCAGCCAAACCCTGCATCCACCCCAAAACAGCAGAAAAACAAAATTTGCTTCTCTAGAAGTAGAAAAAATCCCCCATATCAATCTTACCATAAGAAATCACCTTTGCTTTCTCGCTCTCCAAGTGCAGATTCCTAACATATAACTAAAAAAAAAAAAAATTACCTAAATTTCAAAATATAAAAATTCACAAAAACAATCAGAAAAAATCCACAAAGCGCTTTTCCCATGGGAGAGGACTGAACTTAGCAACATATCCTTTATCAATCATCTTAATTTCTGTGGTACTTACAATTTTCTAATTTCTCATTTTTATGTCTATTGTCCCCAGAATTGCAAAAAAATAAAATTCTTGCTGTCTCTAAAAACAAAAATTTCCAGATATTATAAGTTTAAGGTCACTGACTTTCTTTTGTCTAATTATCACCCTTTTACAAATGAATCCACAATAATTTTAAAATCTATGCACACTATCACTACTGGAGAGAAAAAAAAACAAACCACCAATTCTCAAAATTCACATTGGAGTTCAGGCGCCAATTGTTGTATCACACGTCTGAACCAGTCAGGGTCACTCCAAGTGAATTTTGGGACTAAATAAAAACACAGAAAGTACCTTTTCTTGGGTACTTTTCAGTGACCACTCCTCAGCCACAGCTCCCACAAGGGGGGCAAGGCAGGCAAGACAGCAAGGAGCACATGCTGAATCCTTTTATTGGGGAAAAGCCATTCAAATGAGGCAAGGGGTCAGGTTTCAGGGGGTTGAGTCTAACTTCAGGATGTCTTGCTGTCAGCAGGTTGACTGACACCTATGAAGGCCACACCCATCTCGTGTGCTATGTGGGATCATAGGCAGAGTGAGCAAAGAGAGGCATTCAGAGCCCGCCCAAACAGAGGGACAACACTGGGTCTGTCCACCCTGTGCGCTCAGTGCTCACAGTTCACCCACACACAGCCCAGGGCTGGCTGGCCACATCTCCACACTCTCATCACTCAGGCTTAGGGCGCTTGGTTCCTGTGGGCAGCTCCTGACCCACTACAGGTCAGATCTTGTTCTTGCCTTTCCAGCAGCTCGGGCTGGCCCATCCAAAGGATTCTGATTCCACGTGTTCTCTTTGCAGGCAGCGGCCCCCGCAGCCACCTTAGTGGGCCGATCCCTCGCAGGCAGCGAAGCACTCTGCAGTCAGCATGGCCCCCCTTTTCAGTCCGCGTCCCTCGCATCTCTGTATCTCAGCAGCTCCCTAGAACATGCCAGAGAAGGCAGCAGCTGCACCCTTCCGCCTGTCCCTGACTCAGGGCTCGGCCAGTGTCTCCAGCAGGGACTGGCCTTCACTGGCCTTCACCAAGTGAAGACCAGCATGACACTGGGCAGCCCTGGGTGTGCGCGTGGTGTCTTGGAGAGAAGTGCAGGCCCCCTTCTTCAACTGCTAGCCAGGCATTACATGGGGGTGCCTTCCAGGGTTGGGTGTCCTCACGCCAGGTGGGAATCCCACTTGGTGCTGGGTGTCGCCACTCCCTGGTCGGGACAGGCCACCCAGACCTCCCGGTCCCAGAGACTCCTCAGATTTCCTAAGGATAGGAATCAGAACTGTGCCAGCCTGGAGAAGGTCACCAGAGACTTCCCAGAAGGAGGGGAATGTTCCAAGTCTTGCAGGGTTGGAACCCAATCCTGAGCTGCCTCCACCTCTGCTTCTGGACCGAGGCAGACTCAGGGATGCCCATGCGAGGGGTCAGAGCAGCTGGGCATGACAGGTGGCCTGGCAGAAGGCCTCAAAGGAGCCAGCACAACCCTACAAGGGGAAGGGCCCCTGGACGCCATGTTCCTGGCCAAGCCCCCATCACAGAGACCCCAGGTGCCAACCCACAGCCACCTCGACCCTCTGTGGTGGCCTCTCCAGTCTGTCTGGAGCTGTCTGACTTCCCCCAAGACCCAGAAGCCACAGGGAGGAGGAGCTGCCCACCACCTGGCCCAGGTGGGGAGAGACACTTCTGCCACTCATTGTCAGCAGAGATTCTCTGCCCGGCTGAACAGCGTTTCTTAAATCTCTTCTTTTAAAAAGTGCTAGGAAGTTGTGGAGAAGAGCGTGGCCTCCTGGAAGCTCTTTCCTAGGTAGAAAGCCCAGGGCCTGCCTGTCTGGGGAAAGTGATTCCCCTCCAGCCCCTGGCCGGCCGACCCCCGTTGCCCACCTGGGAGGGAAGGGGTCTGCAGTCCCCAGAGTTGCCACAACCTTGAAAAGCAGGGCCAGGGTCGGGCCAGCAGCTCATACAGGCCCCAGGACCCATATGGGCCCATGCCCAGGTGGCAGACCTAGCTTTATGTGAGTGGCAGCCTGTGGGCAGCTCCCTCTGTGTCTCTGGACGGTCGGCTCTTCCCGGTCCTTCGCTGCCTGGCCCAGCTTTGATCTCCTGTGGGAGCCGGGACCTCCCCCACTACCTGCCACCAGCACACCTTGTGCCCGGATGCTCCAGACACCCGCAGGCTGAGCAGATGCTGCAGACATGCCAGGAGATGCTTATCTCCACCTCTAGTCACCCCCTGCCAGGAAGGGCACAGGCTGGAGGCCAAGCCCCATCTGGGCCCTTGACCCTCGCACCCAGTCTCCATGGCCTGGCCTGCTCCTGACTGCCTCTGTCACTTCCTTTCTGACCCAGCTGGACACCAGTTCCAGCAGATTCCAACGTCAGCTCAGGTCAGGTCATGAGCAGTCAAGGGCAGCAGCCACAGGGACCTTAAACTGCATTCCCATGGGCACAGGATGTTGTGGACAGGCAGAGACCAGGTCATCCCACAGGGTCTGGAAACCACAGGGCAGAAGCAGGCATAAAGGGCAGGCACAGCCGAGGCACCCACCAGGAAGGATGGCCCTGCTCTTGCTGGTCCTGGGGCTGAGTGCTGCTGGGGCGCAGAAGTTCAACCCCCTGGCTGTCGTGGATAAGAACTACAACATGGCCAGGGTGGGGACAGGCCAGGCTTCTGGGGCATTTGCTCCCCTCAACTTGGGGTCTTTGACCTAGGCCAGAGGGGTTCTGCCATGGGAGGCCCTCTCCTCCCCCAGCTGTGACAGAAGCCAAAGGGCCAGGGGGGACCTGGGAGGTCAGAGGGGACCTGGGAGGTTAAAGGGGACCCTGGGGGGCAGAGGAGACTTGGGAGGTCAGAGGGAACCCTGGAAGGACAGAGGGGCCTGGGAGGTCAGAGGGGGCCTGGGGAGGGAGAGGACCCCTGGCTGCAGCTGACACCTATAACTGGCACCGAGGAGCCCCGTGGCATCCAGGGCTCCCCATCGTCACACCTTCCCTCCAGATTTCAGGGGTCTGGTACTCTATTTCCATGGCCTCAAACAACCTGTCGCGGATTAAAGAAGACGGAGACCTGAGGATCTTCATTCGGAATATCGAACACTTAAAAAACGGCAGCCTCAAGTTCGATTTCCGCTTCATGTGAGTGTTGCTGGACAGGGGGGACTCGCACACTCACGCTCTGAGCCCCACCCTCGGGGGGGGACACCGAGAGAGGAGCGGTGCCTGGTGATGGCCCTCTCTGTGGACCCGGCTGAGACCCCCGGCGGGACTGGGGCGTGAAGCCTGTGCCTCAGGGCAGATACTTCCTGCCACAGACCCTGGGGCTGGGCCCCACTCCAAGCGCCACCCGGCTCCTTTCCAGGGTGCAGGGTGAGTGTGTGGGCGTGAGCATGGTCTGCCAGAAGACGAACAAGAACGGAGAGTACTCCATCTCCTGTGAGTGTGGGCAGGGTTCTTCCTGGTCTGACAGCCAGGGGTCCTTCTGCCCGGCCTTCCCTGACTTAAGGCACTTTATGAGACCCCTGATACCCTGACCCCAAAGCAAGAGGACCTAGCCTGGCTCCAACCCAGGGGCTCCCAGACCAGCTCCTCTTGGGAAGCCACGGGCTCAGGCCCACCGGGGGGTGGGGCTGGGGTGGATGGAGAGGGGGCCGAGGCGCCCTGCTGCCCACACTGCCACACAGGGGACCCATCTGAGCCGCTCCTGTGCTCCCACTCCCCCTCCCTCCTGGTGGTTGAGGGCCACCACACACAGTGGCCCGGCATTGGTCCAGGACCTGGGGGGCATGGGGCGTGGCGGTGGGCTGTGCTGAGTGGCATCTCCACACAGACGAGGGGGAGAACAAGGTGCTGGTCTCGGAGACGGACTACAGGATGTACGTCATCTTCGACATGCAGAACGTCCGCAATGGGACCGAGACCCGCGTGCTGGCGCTCTACGGTACCCCAGCCCCAGCTGTCCCAGCTGTCCTGCTCTGAGACAGGCGCCACCCTGGGCGGGTGGGGGTCTTCCAAGAACCCCAAGTCTGAGAGGTGGGTGAGTGGGGGCTTCAGTATTCCTCACCCACCTGCTGGCACAAGCCCCTCTTGCTGGTCAGCAATGCAGCCCTGCCCAGGCCCTCCAGGCCCTCCCCAGACATGGTCCCAAACCTGTCTTCAGGACGGATCCCAAAGCTGAGCCAGAACTTCCAACACAGATTTCATAGAGTCTGCAGAAAGTACAGACTGAGTTCCAAAAACATCTTGGACCTGACCCAAGAAGGTAGGGCTCCTGCTTCAGGCCAGTGCAGGCTGCCTGGCCCAGCGGCCCAAGGGCTCGGGGTCTGGGGGGAGGCCCAATGAGCCAACCGGGGGCCTTTGTCTTCCCAGATCACTGCTACTCCAAGAGGTAGAGCACCCAGCCAGGCCCTCGGTGCGTGAGCTTCCTGGGTGCAGGACGGGCAGCTCAGGGTGGCAGGTGGAAGCGGATGGGGTTGCCTTGGGGCTGATGTCAGAGGGCAGGGTCCCAGCCCAGAAGGACCGCCAGCACCACCCCTTGAGGCCCGTCCTCAGCCACCTGCTGGGGTCTCCTGCAGAAGTAAGGGAGCGTAGAGCGCCTGGTGCAGGGGCAAATCACTACTGGAGCCAGGGCCTCGGCGGGCTCGTGGGACGTGGGACTGGGCAGAACAGAACCCCATGTTGTAGGAGTGTCCTGGGCTTCTGGGGGCAGAACAGTGGGGATTACTCTCTCACAGCTCTGCAGCCAGGAACTCGGGGGTCCAGGACTCCCAGGGCCACGCTCCCCTGGGGCTCCACGGGACCCTTCCACCTCCTCCAGCTGCTGATGGCTCCGTGTCCCTCGGCTGTGGCAGCATTGCTCCAGCCTCCTTGTCTGTGTCCCTTCTTCCCTCTCATCAGCACCTGCTAGGTTTAGGGCCCACCCAGTAATTAAGGCAAGTCTCATCTTCAGACCCAAATGGACTGCTGCACGGAGCCCCTTTCCAGATGAGTCCCAGCTGGGGTCTGGGCATCTCTCCTGGAGGCCACCATTCAGCCTCCCGAGTCCCTTCTCAGGAACGAGCCGTGGTCCCACAAGATCACCCTCCAAGTCTTCCTTCCCTTCCCAGAGGCCACCCCCATTGGACCCCACATCAGCTCAGCCTGCGAGTCCTTGAGGTTTCAAGGACGCTGTCCTGCAGGGCCTCGCAGTCAGGAGGAGTGGGGCTGGCAGCCCAGCGAGAGGGCTGACCCACGTAGGCACGAGGCCCTCCCCGCTGCGTGGTGGTGAATAAAGAGGCAGCAGCCCAACCGCTGTCCTGTGGATCCCAGGTGATTGTCTGTTGGCCCTGCTGGGAGTGAACACTGTCCCCTACTCACCCACCACTGTCCCCGCAGCTCCATTCACAGGCACCAATCATGGGACGTGGCCTGAGGTCCCTCAACAGGTGCAGCTGAGCAAACTGTCCATCTGCACCGTCCTTAGCCACGGGGAGGATCAATGCACACGCGTCTGGGGATCCCGTGGGGAGGCAGGGGCGGATCAGGTTTCCAGCCTTCAGCGGCAGAGCTGCCCAGGATGCTAAGTGTGCAAAGGGGTGCCCGCGGGCACCAGGTGGCTGTGCGCTCTGTGCCCACGGTGGCTGCACACCTGCACATGGGACAGGGCACAGAACTACACCCAAGCACACAGAAACATACACTCAAAAACACAACCCCACACTCACACCAACACACACATACACCTACTCCCACACACCCCACAGCCAGGCACACTCACACGCACCCACGCACACAGGCTCACACTCGTGCAGGAGTAGTCACGCACATAACCACTCTATAGTCACACACACTCAAAGACAATGTTCTCACACTTTCACACTCACAGGCAGACCGTCACATTTACAGGCATACACTTGCTCCCACAGCCTCACACCTCTCTCTACCTCACACACACTCATACATGCTGACATGTACAAGACTCACCAACTTGTGCAGAAACTCAGAGAAACACACACTAACATCACAAGTATTCACACATATTCTCTCAGGTGCACATACAAACACCTCCACTCACACACACATGCACATACATATTCACAGTCAGGTGGAGTCCCTCACACATGCATGTTCACATTCATGCTGACACACACGTGCACATACACTCAGGAGCATACAAAAAAATCACAGCCTGGCCTACTCTCACACTCACTTTTACACACCCTTTCCCACTCTCACACTCACTCTCACACCCTACCCACTCCTACACTCACAGCTTTGCTCATGCTCACACTTTCACACTCACTCTCACACTCACTCTCACACACCCTGACCACTCTCACACTCACTATCACACTCACTCTCATACTCACTCTCACACAGCCTTGCCCACTCTCACACTCATCTCACACTCACTCTCACACTCTCACACCCTGCCCACTCTCACACTCACTCTCACACAGCCTTGCCCACTCTCACACTCTCACATTCTCACACTCATTGTCACACACCCTGCCCACTCTCACACTCCTCTCACACACCCTGCCAACTCTCATACTCACTCACACTCACTTTCTCACACCCTGCCCACTCTCACACTCACTCTCACCCAGCAGTGCACAGGCAACAGCACCCTGTCCATGCAGGCAGCGTCCATGTCACACAAGAGTGGTGTCCTTAGCTGGGCACACGGCCAGTGACCTGGGAGGCCAGCGTGGGCCCTGGACTTGGCTGTGGTCTTCCTCGCTACTGCATGAGTATCTCAGTCCTCTCCAAATAAAAGCTGAAATGAAAGATCTTGGCTTCTGAGCCCAGAAGAGGCCCACGGAAGCCTGCCAGCCTCTGTCCCTTGGCCCTGGGCAGTCCCCCATCTCTGCAGCCCACCTGGAAGTCAGGGTCCCCCCAGATCCCTAGGCCCCTACTGGGTGGTGGACAGTGGGGCAGCCTGGAGGGCAAGGAGTGGCTCCCTGACCAGAGCACCCCAGTATGAGGAGCAGCTGGCCCCACCCCAAGTCCCTTTGGAGGGAGTCAGGGGGTTGGACCACCTGGGTGGTCAGGCCCAGGGTTCTATGGTGGACGCAGGGGTCACTCAGTACCCACACTGCCCAACACACCCAGCACCAGCACCTGCTGGTGAAGGAGCCAGGTGTGGGTGCTTCAGGACCAGGCGCCTGCCCCCCCTTCCCTTAGGCACTGCGGGGTCAGAGGCTGGCAGAGCTCATCCTCAAAGCAACCTGCCAGGTGGGCAGGGTGGAAGGGGACTGGCTGTCCCACAGGCCTCTCGGGTTTCCAGCTTCCCACCCATTCCTGGTCCAGCCCACTGAGCCACACAAGGGACACACAGGAAGCTGCCCACATGCCCAGCACCTGTGGTGGGCAAAGTTGGCACTGGGGAGCAGCGCCCAGCAGGACGCACCAAGATGAGACAGAAACAGCCCTGAAGAGGCACAGGACAGGTGCTAGGGGACGGGGCCACCACTGACCAGACCCCTGGCCCAGCGGCAGACACAGCGCCTGCTTAAGGGGTTGTCGGCCACGGAGAGTCACCTGTCCCAACACCAGCAGGTGTGCCCGTGTGTCCACTGCCTGCAGCCACGCCGTGCTCAGCCTCCAACAGGGACTTCGGGTTCTGCCACTGTCTTCCTACCTCCCTTTGCTCTTCTGGAGACAGCTCGGACACCCAGAGGCGCATACAGATACTAGCACCTGTCCCTCGTGGTCACACCTGTGTTGCCCGCACAGCTCTTCCAGCTTCTGCCTTCCTGACCTGGCCACAGGTGCTCCAGCAGGTGCTCCTCCACTGATTGCAGTGCCAACATGGAGCCAGGGCCCCCCCAGGCTCCAGCACTCCTGGGTGGACAGCAGCGCCCAGGTCAGGGGTGCACTCTGGGTGTCCTGCCCACGGCTCTGCAGCACCCGGTCTCACCTGCCACACCTCTGGCCATTCCTCTAGGGTGGGCATTTGGGATGCCCAGATCCCCCCAACCAACATCCCACTTTCAGGCCTGAGAGTGTTGCCAGAAACTTCCAAATGACTCCCCCTGGCCCTGCCCTAGGCCCTGCCTCCCACTTCAGAAGGAGACCTAACCTCACTGTAAGAGGAGATCACGGCCCTGAGTCCCAGGCTCTGTGCCCACCCCTCACCGCCTGTCCCCATCCCTTGCCATTTTGCATTTGTCTTCTTCTTGTTGACTTTGAGCTGTATTGGCCATCAACCCACTTTTGCCCGCCCAAGAGCACCAGCCGTCCGCCCCTCGGCTCCGGCCTTCCGCCTGGTTACCCTGTCTGTCACAGGAAACCTAATCTAAGTTCCTACCCACCCGGGCTGTTTGTGCCTGTTGGGGAAGTCCTGGCTCCAGGGCTGGCTGCACCTTTCCTGTGCCACCCTGCAGGCAGCCTGACACTACCCCTCCCTGGACTCCCAGCCACTCACCAGCTCTGTGACCTGGCCACCTCCATGCCTGTTCCTCACCCACGAGGCCTGGGAGACCCAAGCCTCTGCTCCTGAGGATGTTGCTGCGAGGACCCGGCCAGGGCCTGTGGGCGAGTGCTTGTGCCCAGGGAGCACTGGCTTAGGATTGGCACTGCCATGCTGGTGGGGGGGGCAGTCACGTCACTCCAGTACACATGGGTTCACAGGGCAGGTGTCTCCCTGGCCATCACTGTGCTCTCCACAGCCCCAAGAGACTGCTGCACAAATGCTCCCAATTAAATAATCCATAAGGAGGGTCCTCAGGAGTGAGGACCAGGTCAGGGCTCTGCTCTGAATCCGGATGCTGACCTATCAGAGCCCTCTGTGTTGTCCTTAAAGATTAAAATTCAAAACCAGAAAGCACCTGACAGGGCCGTGTGTGGACTGTGGATGGAGGTGACCTTGCCATTGTCCTGGGGGAAGGGACATGGGCATAGGAGACCAGGAAGCTGCACTGGGAGGGTCCTGGTCAGCCAAGTTCACAGGAACCCAGGCCCCTCTCAGAAAGAGCAGGGGACAGAGTGGGAGCAGAGGCTTCTATGTTGGCAGTGGGAGGAGCCCTGGGCTAGCCACCCAGAGCATGGGCAGAGCCGCTGGGCCCCACATACAGGACCAGGACGCAGGGCATGGAGGGCATGTACTGTCATGGCCTCCTGCAGCTCTGCCCCTCCTGAGGACCAGGGCCCAGCACCCCTCACCTGCAAATCTAGGTGGGGAGCGTCAAACCTGGGGCCAAGGAAGCCAAGGATGAGGCTCTCAAATGACCTGCTCTCTGATCCCAGAAGGCCTGAGGGACTCACCTGGGCAGGTGACCCCAGAGAACCCCGCAGGTGCCAGAGTAGCTTGGCAGCATAGCAGAGCCCTGGGCTCTGGCCCCAGCCTTCTTCCACTTGCTCCCTCCATTCAGCTGGGCAAGGGCAGAGTCCAGGAGAAGCCCACAGGGGA